TGTATGAGGCTGCGGCTGAGCCAGGATGGGACAATCCAGCCTCCATTTTGGAATTAGGAAGCAAAGTCAAGGACAAGAATAGAATGTATCACTTCGGTAAATAGCAATAAATGAGTGAAAATGCAAGAAGTCTTGCCAGAAGACTGAAGTAAAAGTATTGAGCAAAGATCGAAGCGATGTCCACCAGGGAGGCTACAACGATGAGAAAACCTGAGGAATCAGCGCACATTTAAGCATTATCACCCTCCATAAAGCAATATACGATTCTTCAAACTGACTGACGAACTTGCGTCCGAGCCCATCCTCCTTTCCGTCGAAACGTCCTGCCATTAGCAGCCGCATTACCGTAGCCGCCGAGCTGACGCAGACGATCCTCATTCGTCGGACCCTGACCTATGACAGCAAATCCTGCAGAACTTCCATGAAGAATCAGTCTGAAGTGGATGGCAGTAGAGTCAATTTCAAACTCTTTTCCCCCTGGCGCGTAGAGATGTCGAAAATTGTGTGACGGTTGTTGGGATTGGATGTTGGAGAGCGCTGACCTTGAGCGCCACTGATCCTGGACTGCAGGTAGAGAGCTCAGCGCTTCCCCAGTATCACATTGAGCGAAAGCAGTCCTCAGATTTATGAAGAGACGTATCTATCTGTGACTACAATGTCAAGAAGTAGGGTTGGTGAGAGTAATGACATTGTTCAATATGCACACTAAAAATTACGGTCATGTAGAAATTCATCAGGAAGGGGGAATCAATCACAATCATCATCAAACAGTGGATAAGTGCACAGAAGAAACATTCAAATGAATCTTCTCAGCTTTTCGTGATGCGTAGGTCAGTCGTGGCCAGACACTCTTCGTCGCCAGTCTTCACCCGTGCGATGGACATCGACCACGTCAATCCGCTTGCCAATACCCGTCATTCCCTCCTTCTGCCACCACTTCTCATCTTTCTCTGCGAGTACTGATTCATCTTCACTGTCGATTAGGCCGCCTCGGCCGCCTTCGTCTCCAACTACAACCACGACCTGTCTGACCCAGCCAGAAATGTGTTGCACAGCATCGCCTTGTTTGCCTGTCAAGGACTCTTGGACGTAGACAATGTCGGGCGAAAGATGGCGCACAAGGTGCACGTATCCGGTCGCAGTGCTAAACGGCATGATGGTGTTCTCCTTGTCGACAATGGCCTGCGCCTGCGTGTATAAAGTGCGGAACAGTGGTGTGGCGCCCTCCTGCTCATCAGCTGGGCGAGGTTCGAGAGTGGACAGGTCGCCGCTAGGTGCTTCCCCAGGCGACCTGGCCTCCTCAGGAGCGATGTTGGAATAGGATGATGTAACGGAGAGAGTAGGATTGGATGAGCCGCCCTGGTTGGGTGCATGCTTCAGGCCTGGCGCATAAATAAGAACGAAGATCTTTGCGGTCTCGGAGTCGACATGTTCAGGGAGGTGAGAAAGAATAGACTGTTCATAGCTTGTCAGCGTAATCCATGACATCGAGCCAACAAGAACCTACCGCGTGCTCAGTGAAGTCGTCAAGGTCGTGATTCGCCAACTCAGAGGAGACCACAATCGCTACTGTCTTCTTCTTTTTGTCGAGAGCAGGAGGGCCGCTCACCGCGCTGCGAGTGGGAAGCGCTCCGCTCATCGTCGGAGCTGCAGCAGCAGGTTGAGCTTCTTCCTGAGTAGCCCTCGACCGAACCTCTTCGGACCATCGCGAGTGATCCTCAAAGTCACCGCGATCCTCCTCACGTATTGATGTGAGAGCGCTGCCCATGAATGCGCCCGCCGCAGCCATACCGGCCGCGACCCGTCTACTGGCCCCATCGAAGATCTGCTGAGGGCTCGGTGTGCGCCGCAAAGCACCCTGCATACGAGCCATCATACCAACATCGTCACCATGGATATCCGCCCCGGTCGACCTGGCATATCCGCCGTCAATGCCTGCTGGGGTTCCCTCCGCGCCCGGCGGGGGGTACCGGTCATCCCTCGAGTCGTCCAGGGGGTATTCGCCTTCGTCATTATTATCGTCATCATCACTGCGTTCGCTCCAAATCCATGCAGCTATGCCAATTGTTGCGATGCCGACGGTCAAAGCCAGTGGCACCCAGTACCCCATGACGGTCCGTCTCCCTGAGGAGCTGAAGCCGGTACCAGCTCCAACCCGCCGCCGACGAGCATCCTGGGAATATGGGAAAGACATTGCGGGCACTGAGAGATGATAGATGGCGGGCGCATAGAAGTCAATCCAATTGCGATGGTGTATAATGATCACATCTCAAGGTTGCATGAGAGGAAAAAGGGTGGTTGGTTAACGGAGCAAGCAGGGTGAAAGAGAGAGCCCAGGGCTGGGCCTCGGACGAGCCGAAAACATGTGGCTGGTGATGTCCTGGTTACCGTGGTGTTTCCCCGCTTGTTAATTACAATACGTACCTTACCTAAGTACCTGACTAATGCGAGTAATCTTGTTACCTATGTTTGCACTGTTTACTTTGTTTGCTTAATATTTATCAGCACGTGACAAGGTCGTTATCATGACTTAGGGCATCAAGGTGTTTGGCTGATTTGCAGCGACATAGAGCTATCGGCACGTGACGGCGGGATTTTGTTTAGGATGGGTACAATCTTCCCATGCATGTCAGGTTGAGTCAGAGGGCGGACAGAAGAACAGCACCTTCGCTGCGTTTTACTACTCGATATATATGAAACCCTGAATACTCAGACACTCCAGCAGGTTGTGCGCGCTTGAGGTCAACCATCGCATAAGATAATACGACGAGTCTTCCTCCCCTCTTCCCCGCGGTGATCCTTTCAACCCGACCATTGCACCATTCGACACCAATCTTACAATCAGAACGACTCAGTCAGTCATAGGTGCTTGTAAAGCAAGCATCTCGCAATGCCGCACTCGATTCTTGTGCCCTCGACGGGCTTTCAGGCCCTCATTTTGTGTGGACCTGGCGTCTCTCTCAACACATTCACCTCCAATCCTGAAGAATTTCCCAAAGCATTGTTACCTATCGCAAACCGTCCTATGGTGTGGTATCCTCTGGATTGGTGCTATCGGATGGGCATAACAAGTGAGTAATTGCGAATCAGCGTTGAGTGATACGAAAATTCGCCTGTCCTAATGTCGAGCACCGGTACTCTGTTCTAACCCAAGTGAAGATATCACTCTTATCACACCCCCCGCCAGTCAAGCTCCATTAGAAGCTGCTCTCTCGCAAAATCCTCACCTCACATCTCTTCCGGCACCTTCACCTTCCGTTCTCGCTCCCACAGACCTTACCTTGACGACGGGTACCGCGGAGCTACTGCGTCTCCCCGAAGTTCAGTCATGCATCAAGTCCGACTTCCTCCTTCTCCCCTGTGACCTCATTTGCGATCTGCCAGGAGAATCCCTCCTTGAGGCATGGATGGTCACCCAAAGCGCCCTGGGTGGCTCTACTATCAGCGGCGGCTGGAACTCCAATGGACCCAAGAGCATTGGAATGGGTGGCGAGCAAGGCGGCCGCCGGGGCGGTCTCGGAGTTTACTATCAGACTAGGGGACGGGAAGAGAGCGTCAAGGGCGAGGTGACGGATTTTGTGGCTACCACATCGTTAGAGCAGGAGGAGGCTCCAGCAGTCTCTCATAATTCGGACGGGCCTGTTTCGATCCGGTATGGGCTGTCAAAGCTAGTGCTCTCGATACCTATGGATACACTGAAAGAACGTATGGAAGAGCAAAAAGGGCTCCTCATTCGTCATTCGTTGGTGAAGAAGCACGCGCAGGTGAAGATGTTGACGACCTACCGCGATGCTCACATCTACGTATTTCCTTACTGGGTCAAGGAGATGGCTTTGCTAAATGAAAAGTTCGAGAGTGTCGGAGAGGATCTTGTCGGTTGGTGGGCCAAGGCTGAGTGGCAGAAGGGTCTAGCGGAGAAGCTTCGGCTGCGCGAGATTTTCGAGCCAGAGGGGCGTGGAGCCGCAGAGAGTGGCAGTCTGGACGGCGAGCATATCGAAGAGGAAATTGATCTCAAAGCGATGAGCACCACCAAAGCGGGAGCCGGCACATCACGCGACGCTTTGTCAGATGATCCCTCAGAGACCGTGCAATTCGCGTCTCGGGTGAAAAGATCCGGTACTGAATTAAGCACCGCGTCGCCGGAGCCATCCAAAGGCAAGCTCACCGTGCCCCCGTTGCTGGCATACGTTCACTCCTCGCTGCCGTCTGCACCGCTGGTCAGACGTGTGGATACATCGGCTCTGCTTCTGTCCGTGTCCCTCCGTCTTGCCAAACTCGAGTCCATCGAGGAGGTCGGCCGCATAGCCGCGTCTCCTTTCGCTCATAACCAAAAGGTTGCCTATCCGGCCGGCGTCGCTCAGCGGTGCACGGTCACCAAGGCCGACTGTCTTCTCGCCGATAATGTCACGGTGGAGGAAAAGTGTGTCATCAAGGAATCCGTCATTGGCGCCAACTGTCACATCGCCAGCGGTGCCCGCTTGACGCGCTGTCTCATCATGGATGGCGCCGTGATCGGTGAACGCTGTCAACTGACTGGCTGCATTGTGGGCCGGCGGAGTCAGATCGGCCGCGAGAGTGTGCTCAAGGACTGCGAGATCCAAGATGGAAACATCGTCCCCGAGGAGACAGACGCGAAGAACGAAAAGTTCATGGTCTTTGAGGGTTTGGATGACGAGGACGGCGAAGGAATGGATGTTTCCGAAGAATTCAGCGATGGCAACGACGAGCTAGGGTTTTGATTGACTTGGCCAAGGTCCTTTGATGTTACGAAAATCTATGTCTTGATGCCCAATGACGGCATAGACGCTGATCTTGATGATACTGCTACGTTATAGAAAAGAATTGATATAGCTAGTCTAATCTCCTAGGTAAATCTCAACTCCTAGGCCGCTGCTGCAAAAAACAATGGTATCATAGCCTCCTAACGCCCGTAAAAAGAAAAGTAAATCACCTATGCGCCCGCGCATAGCTACGGTAGTATGCTCAACGAGCACACAGTATCACTCCTCTCTCTTGTCCCTCCTGCGATGGTGTTCTTCCCGCGCCAGCGGTGACTTCCCAATCGACACCATCTCCTGCCTCTTCTTCCCATTCCTCCGCTGCGTAATCCGCCTCACGAGCATGGCACGCGGCATCTCGTACCTCTTCCGCGGCGCATGCGGAGAGGAAGGATCAATTGACTCCCCTCGCCGGTTTCTTCCCCTCCTCGCAAGAGCACAAGACGAGCCGTGACCCACTCCCATCGGTATCGTGACAGGGACAGGCGTATATGGCACTACATCCGTCACGGCTTGCAGCTGGTCCCGGGCTCCATTCCAGTCCCGGTTCCCGTCGCCGACGCCTTCGTGGGCAGGAATATCACTTGTCCGTCCGGCTGCCAGCAGTTGCTGAGGTGCAGGCGTAGGCGTATGCGCTTGCTCGGTTTCAGTTTTCGGTCCGGACCCAGTCGAATAGTAATAGAACCCTGCCGAGGGGTGCACATTCCGGCCCTCCCAGTTCAACCCGTCCCAGCTTGCTACCGCCGTCGGCGTGGACGTATTCGACTCTGTGTGCCCGTCCTGCGCCTCTGTATCTGGATTTGGAGCTGGGGGGAGATCACACAGATCGTCCAGGTCTAGGTCCAGGTATAGGTTTAGGTCGAGAGTCTGTACGGCTAGCCGGGACTCCTCTGCCAAGGCGTCTAGGTATTCGTCGCTTTGGTCATAGACTGCTTTTTCGGGGCCGGGCTGGTCGAACCGTTTGTGGTCGCCGCGGGCGAAGAATCTGGCCACCATGTCTAGGAAGCCTGGTTGCGCGACGGAGGCATTCAGGATGGAGGCGAGTGTTTGTGCGGTTAGGAGACTCTGGTGGGTGGTCAGGGTTTGTTTGTTTGGGGGGTATTGCTGTCTGCAGAGGGGGCAGGGTTCGCCAAGGAGGGCAGTTGATGTTGGTTCTATGGTGTGCGATGGGAGATCCTGGAAGGGACAGGTGAGGGTCATGGGGATGAGATGGTCACAGTTGTGCCAGAAGATCGAGAGGTGGCACATTTTGCTGTGTAGGGACCCGTTGGAGAGGTGGTGAGCTGCCGATGAGGACTTGGGAGCTGAAGGGCGCTTGCTGGTAGTATTTGTATGCTCTTTGATGATCGTGAGGTGGTCTTGAGATCATTGTGCGCTGCATGGCTGTTGAGGGTTGGTATGAGGGAGATAAAGGGAGGCCTTTGGGAACTGGTGGACAAGGAGGTCGCTGGCAGTGATGTGTTGCTGAGGATAAAGGGAGAGTGAAGTGTATCATGCTCTATTGTGCTGGTCTCTGTAGTTGATGTTGCTTTGTCTCTGCCTGTTTCAGGTTCCGTCATGGCTATTGTTGAGCGGTCATGACAATGAAATTGACGAAGCATCTGGTCTGAGCAAGAGATGAGTGTCAGTCTTTGTCTCCTGCTTATTGATCACTGGACATCTGCATTGTCGGCTTGTCTGTCAGTAGTTTTGAGAGTGGCATAAAGATGAACAGTACAATCAGATCTCGATGCATTGATTCGAGCATTCTGCATGACATGCCCTAAAAGTGTTTTCGATCATGCTGTCTATGATGCTTTTGCTTAAAATTCCACTTGACTCAGTGCCATCCATATCTACAAGGTGGACATTTTCGTCCAACCTCATGGTCTTCCTCGATACTTGCAAACATCGATGGGCAAATTAGTGATATCTCATGGCTACGGCATCACTGTCAGATATACTGTTGCAAAGATGTGTGACCTCCAGGACTGACGTAGTATAGATGACCCGAAAGGTAATACAAGCATCTACCTTCGTGACAGTGCTGCCCACCAACACCAAGCACAATCAGGATAGGGTGTCCAGGTCAAGCTTTCAGCATGGGCACGCGTTCAAGAAAACTTAAGCATATGCCAGCTCTTTTAGAAATCAAACCAGCAGATCGAGTCTCTCTATTACATCACTTCATGCTGACAGGATGACATTCTAGAACCTCGAAGGAATCAGTCTAGACTCGAATATCGGGGCGGCCAGAGCAGACCACAACGTATGAGTATTCTCAGCATACAGATAGAGGATCGATTTTCTGACGATTGACTCGATCGACTCGAAAGGACAATTTTGATGCTGATGACTCTGTTCGCTGAAGTATGTATTTGACACCCACATCATTGTTTCCCCTCTCTATTTTTAGAATAATGCATGTCTTATGTTGCACCGGAGTAAGAGTGCGTTGAAGACGTACGCAATCGGAGAACTGATCTGTTGGGTCTACCTCTCTAGTCTACGGAAAATGTTTCTGATGCTGGCAAGACGTACATCACTTTTCCAGCGACACTGAAGTTACTTCTTTATCTAGAAACACTCGGCTACGAGTTGCTCTCTGGTGAGTTGCGATGACAGACAACAATGTCGCAGACTAAGTACCAGGATACATACCTTAATTACTCCGTTGAAGCAACCCCGCTTGGTGGACTTTCCCATTGCAGCCACCTGCAGACGAGACCAACCTAGAATCCGGATAATCAGTCGCTTAGTTCCGTGTTGCCTGGGGCTACTACTCTAACAGTTGAATTAGGTGTATTTATCGCTGCATACGTTAAAAAATCCCCGCTAATGAGACTGGCAGAAATGTGCATTAAGACTGAGCATGATCCGAGCTGGCTAGCGCGGGACATAGCACTGGATATCTATCGTAGCACCGATACTGCTTATTCTCTTTCTAAGGTCATCTGACAGACGGAAGCACAGCAGGTATTTTGGTTACTTGACGGGCAAAAGTACGACTGTTCGGTGTTGATTGTTGTTCACCCTGGATGAACAGGGTCGATGTTATCTCGGCGCCGAACGGCGTCCATGGCGATGGTTTCATATTGAGTTCTTGACAGTTGTGCATTCAAGGTTCCTTGACAGGTATCTTAGCGTAATATATCCAAATTGGATTGTGTCATTTATATTGGCCTTGATTCTCGAACTAAGGACATCATTCCTGTCAAATTATTAAGCTAGAAATGAAATCCAGCATGATGCCTGGATGCCTGGTCTCGACCGGGACTCGGAATCTGCGGCGCATGTTGGCGCATGTTCCTTAATTTGGATGAATCCGCTTCGAATAGAATTAGATAGACGTTGTCGAGTCTAGGAATGCCTCGAATCTTCCACGACCTGACCATGCGGCATTGTCGGTTTTATTTACGCTGATGAAAGGTGGTAGATAGAGCATTGTATATTGGATCATTAGTTGAAGAGAAGAATAGGCCTTGGCCCATAGCGAACTAAGTCTGACAGCGTCATGGTACTCCACAGTTTGGTCCCCGGATATTATACGCCTCTTTAAATCCCTCAAAGAGTCAAGACTCTAGTGCTGCACCCCATGCTGCTACTTTACTGGGATTATGACCCATCATTTCCTACCTGGTCTCAATAGTCAGGATCCCCTCCTAAGCAAGATTTTAGAGTTTGTCATTGCGCACTCACCGCTGGCCTACATAGCTATCACCACAGATACTTAAGGACCTAGATACCAGTTAATGGTTCTCTGTAAGTTAGTAGCATACCGACTACCGAGTTCGCCGAGTTGAATGAGGGGAAGACACAGGCCATTGGACGGTAGCACTTACCGTACTACCTAGTCTATGACTGATAGACTCTCCAAGCAAGGTACCCAGGGCTACCTTATTTGACAACTGTCACTGACCTCGGCCCTATCATGTGTCTGGCGTTCCTGGATCGATCTGTGAATGATGTAAGGAACATGGACGCATTGTTTTCTTGCTTGTCTACCTGCCTGCCTGATCCAGAACCCAGGTGTAAGCATAGCAACACATGATGACCATATATGTATTGATTAAAATGGTATCAATCTGTTTCGTCATGCTAGTGGGCTATTTCTACTATTCTGTGGTTTTATTTTCTTTCCTAGTGACTACTATGTAACTAGATACCAGACTAACGTAGTTTTGACTTTGGCCTGGATTTGAACCGCCATAGCCGCATCGGGCAAATTTACATCCACTCGGCACGAGAAATGATCTCTTGTCATTTTCGTGTCCGCGATCACAGTGGTTGTTGGTTTGGTCATTATTCACGCAAAAATTGAAAAAGATTTGATGATTCGGATAGTCATCAGTTTTGCATATTAATGAGAAAAACGATCGAGGTTTGGCTATCAGCCGTGCCAATGTATATTTGCATATCTTCTCCGCCAAGATATATCACAAGCAGACTCATCCATGGCTTTGTGAGCTTAGCAGGGAACTTTTAGGCAGACTTCTCTCTCCACCTAAAAGCAGTGGAATATTTGCTTTGCAACATAGCATAGACAGTTGCAAACAGAACTGGGACGTTTGACATCATAGAGCCCATTAGGGAATTGAATTGACCATGGCATTGTACGCATGAGCTGTATTTCTGGCACATGATTGACCGTTGGACCTGAACTTACCCCACAAACATGGAGGAACTAGTAGTGATGATCTCGATATTGCATTATGTGTCAATGCTCCTACATGGAAGGCTATGACATGTCATAGAGTAAAACAATGACCGCGACACTGAGTTTAAGCTTTTCAAAACAATCAAGGTAAATATGCTGTGGCATTAAAAGCCCATGCTCTATAATCTTGGTCACTTAACTGTCGACGACCGAGTGGTGGAATCAAATCATGATACATCAAGCAGAGTACGCCATATGTGGATAATTGATATGGATGATTGAAATGATTGACGCCGCTCAATTCTGAAACTGGTTGACTCTCATGATCGCCCGCCGCACGGGATACTTACTCGCAAATCACGAATAGAAATGCGTGAAGCGCCCGTCGATCGCGCGGGACCTCCTTACGTGGATCTGCGGCCATATTTTGTAACTATGCTGTATGTGGATGGGGATTGCGTGGGGCTTTCAGCCAAATATCAAGTTAGCGGTGGGTAGCTTGGCCTGGAGATAAGGATTATCGGGGTGATGTATGCTGGTTGATCATAATCAGACACCCTCGGTGATAAAAGATTGAATTTTATTCATCTGGTCTATGATTGTGCTATGAGCGTTAGTACTCTATAATAGGGACTAGTTTGTCCAGTGGTAATCTACTTATGAGACAGGGGTAAGTGCTCTTTGGTCTGAAACATGATCCATTCAAGCATAGCTTAAAGTTTTCATCAGTTTATTCTTATCAAATGTCTCAGATACTACAGAGTATGGGTCCACGATCTGGCAAAAATTGATGAGATTGAAGATCCGAATCATGTCGGCAATGCTAAAGTGGCAATACTACCTACTAGATTACCTATTATTCCGTTGTATGAGACAAAACTTTCTTCCCAAGAGGCCGAGTACACTCGCAGGAGGCGGTATATGGATCTTTGCATATGTGTTATTATGTAATTATCTAAGCAAGCACAAGGCCATTATTGCCGGTTCCCCGGTTCAGTGTGGAGCAAGTCAAGTGTTAGCGATGGGCGCTATCTGCATATGGATGTAGGTGAGTTTCAACATTCCTCATATTAATGTTATTCGCGGTGACTTGCCCATCGAGCATCTTACTAGACTGATGATAAGATGTTTTGTTACTCCGTACGAGACGGGCCTTGACGATCGGGGTGAACGGCAGATCTGAAACTGGATGGATCTGAATCTGATTGCTGAAAGGACAGTACCAGCCCAACATGTCAGAAATCAGATCTGGTCTGGCATACTTGCATCACACATGCAGTGATACGAGTTCAAGGAGTTGGGAGTATGTTTTTGCTAGTTGTCAGCTCTCAGCCCCTCAGCCTCATCAATAGCCTTCCTGAGACTTGAGAGGCATCCGATTGATTCATGTTCATCGAGGCTCCAAACTTTCCAAGCTTCAGTCAACTGTCAGTTAATTTTCGAATCAACAGCAGCATACTGCCGTTGTAGAGGCTTGGAAAACTCTGTAGGGAGACCTCCGGTGCTCTTCCAGTCCGTAGAAAGATGACTGACATCATTGAGCACATTCTCTGGTAACTTCTCCCTGCCAATAATGTGATTAACTCATTATCATTGTCATGGACCATGGTAC